CTCTAAGTCAGTGGATGGCCTTAAGAGTGTTTAAATGGATCCAAATTGTGAAATCCAGATTCACGTCAGGATGCTGACACCAGTTAATCTTATTTTAATGCGAATTAACTTGCGTAACCACGAAATTGCGAGTATGAGAGACATGAGTATTTTGAGTAGGCAGAGGTGTGAATATTAATCATTAAAAAGGCCAATTAAAATAATAAAATGAAAATATTTAATGAACAAAATATCAAAAGAATGTACAATAAAAATGGATTACAAAATAATATATATCTAGACCTATCTTAAGAGTAGGAAAATTCAACCTTTTATCTTAAATCTAGCATGTGAGAGAGAGTTTACAATATTTCTACAGGTTATACTACCTTAAATAATTCTTTTTTCTTTTCAATATTTTCATGTATGAGAGGAGGGTCTTCTATGGATGTATAGAAGTTCGTATGGTTAATTCTGTCTGGTAGAAACGGTGCTCATTCGTATTGTGCACTGCTATCAACTGTATGGTCAGTACTGCTTCCGATGAACTTCTATAATTTGTATGGCGAATTCAGGTCTCATTGAACCTCTGATGAACTGCTGTGATTAGTATGGCAATACCTCTTTCTATGAACTGCCCCGAATGGCGAGAAAAAAATCCCTTTTATATCGGCCTCCTCAGACGGCCCAGTAACATGTGCAAAGGCCGCATTTTTTACTCATCTCACGAGTCGGCCAAAGGAAAGGAAATCAACTCCCTTTCTATAACGAAAGTACTTGACATCCGTTTTTCAAATAAATTCATTAAAGTTAGAAAATTTAATTTTTATTGAAATTTAAATTGCTCTCTCTCTTTTGTTAATTTGTTTAAAAATGACTCCCCTCCTAATTCTAGATCTCACAAATTACTATGAAAGCAGCATTTAAAATTTTCAGTTTCATGCTCCATATTCAACTGTGTTCTCATCTACAAAATACCCCTAGCTCAGTTCTGCACTGTTCTGCTCAGATTTGTGAATTTCTATTCTGTTTTGATTCACTCATTGCTACACAGAGCAAAGCTGTGCAGTTGGTCTGGATGTGGTTTAACAGCAGGAAAGTAATTTAGAAAATGTTTTTAAATTATATTTAGAAGTATTTTTAGAAGTACATATAACATTAATGANGGATTCGCATAACACGGCAATTTTTTGGAATGTAACTACCGTGTTATACTGGGGTTACCTGTATTTTTAAAAATTAGCACTGAGGAGGGGTTGGGATGTATTGAGCCAACCTGAAATGCATTTGTCATTTTTGAGAATAAAATTGTAGTTCCAAACTAAAAATTTGACGAGAGTCCGTCTACCATTTGTTGAATTACAGAGACACATTACATAGAGATACTTCTCATAGTTTATACAATCTGTTGCAAAAATAAAAACACTTTATCATCACATAAAAGCAATTATTCTCACATTTTTATAAGCTTTTTTTATTTAAACAAGTCATATTAAGCCTTTTGGACATTCAGGTTAGCAACTTCGATCACATGTGGTGCCATCATCTATCCAACAAGAAACACTTTTCAAATATTAATAGTAGACCAGTATTAATTAGTAGTCGTCGATCATCCTCTCTTCCAGGAGGAGGTTAACTACTATTTTTGATTGAATTAACTTCAACCCCCTTCCACAACAGTCCCTTCTTTCTATCAGACTAGTGGTATAGTGGCATTCGAATAGGAAAATTACATAATATGAGGTTAGCAGCCTATAAAAGGTATGTTTTAAGTGTTTTCAAGGGTGCTGAGTTTAAATCTTTGGTCTGTTTTTCACAAACTTTGATTGGTTGTCAGATTACCATTTGATATTCGGCTGTGAATGGTACAGTTTCTTACAGTTAACATTAAGAAAAAAAAAAGATATCTAAAACAATTTAAGATATTGTATTTTCAATTGTCGTACACTTGACCAATGTAATTGTGCCATTTCGTACTACTGAGTATCACAATAAACATGACAAGGATAGGCTAAAATAACCAAACTGTTTAAATTGTTTTCATTTTAATATTTATTATATTCTAGCATTTGATTTATATAACTACAAAGTAAACAACCACTCACCACACCGGGATATAATTAATCATGTACGCTGAACCAGTTATGGTGTTTAGATAAAAAAACAAACAAAAACGAACATTTTCGAACTCCTTCAGAGTTTTTCATCAGGTTTTTTTTTTTTAAATGATTCCTTGATGGTTCTTCATTTTGGAATAAAATTTGAAAAAGTGTTCGAATATAAGTTCTTTATATAAGTATATAAGTATTGTACACAATTTAAAGAATTTTTATTCTTTAAATTGTGTACAGTAGAGGAATAAAGAACTTTTAAAATGTATTAGATTAGTCCGATGTGATAAACTCTTGTATAAGATAACTTTTGTAGTTATATAAATCAGATACTATAATATAATACAATAGAAGGGTTAGAAGTACGAAATAACCTAATAATCTTAATCTTTGCTGTTATTTTTTGTCAGGGCAATGCAAGGCTCATCTGCCAGTTTGTATATAAGACGGACTCACAGCAAATTTTCAGTTAGGACCTACAATTTTATTCTCAAAAATGACAAATTCATTTCAGGTTGGCTCAATACATCCCAACCCCTCCTCACTGTAATTTTTAAAAATACTGCATGTCTAGGTATAACACTTCTTATAGATCTTCTACTATGAAGTAGATGATCTTATAGATCTTCACTATAAAGTCAAGAAGATCTATAAGAAGTGTTATACCTAGACATGCAATACAAGTAACCCCCGTATAACACGGCACTTCTATAGCACGGATTCACTCTAACACGGTTCGAGAATTGGTACCATCCCCCGTATAACACGGTACTTTTATAGCACGGATTCACTCTGACATGGTTTGAGAATTGGGTAAAACCCTTGTACAACAGGAAATGTAATAAATTTTTACATACTTAAGTAGTAATAGTTCACGAAAATTATTATTTTCGTGAACTATTAGTACTTAAGTATGTAAATTTTCTCTTCTCGCCTTCTGTCGATACA